TGGGCCGTGGGCACGGCCATGGAAGGGGCAGAGGGCAAGGAGGTAGATTTGGAAGCAGCTACCTCAATGGAGGCCGTGGTAATGGAGGATATGGCAGCAACAACAACAACAATGGCTACGGGTGTGGGCGCGGTCGATTTGATGGCGAATGCCACTTTTCCCACAAGACCGGCCACATGTGGAGAGATTGCTTCAAACTGCCTAATAGTTGGACCCCTTCTCAAGGCCAAGAAGGCAGAGGAGCAAGGGGAGGAAGAGGCAGAGGTCGTGAAGGCCGTGGTGGTCGTAGAAGCGAAGCAGCAAGCATGAAAGGTGGAGACTACGAGACGGCGGGCCCGAGTGAAGATCGATACCCGGGCCAATTCTTCTTTGTCTCCACGCAAGCGGCAGCAGCAGCGCGAACTGTGGAAGGCTTTGAGGAGCCAGCTACTGTGGGAAAGGTCACCTTTCACTCTCTGGACTTTTGGGTGATCGACAGCGGCGCCACCTATAGCATGACACCTCGTGCGGACTTGCTCACCGAGCTCGAACCGTCGCCGGTCAAGCATGTTACATCGGCTTTGGGGCAGCGAGCAGAGGTGAAATGCATGGGCAAGGCCATGTTCAAGGGTGCTGATAGGAAGATGGTGGGCCTCAAGAACGTGCTTTGGGTGCCCAACCTTGCAGCTAACCTGATTTCCGTGCGGCGTTTGCAAAAAGGCCGGCATGGACACATCTTCCAAGGGATCCAAAACCTATACCGCGAGGCTTGGAGAACGGAAGCTTTGGGACCTTCATGAGGACAGGGACATCTACAATGAGATGTGGCAAATCCCAGTGGTCCCTATGCCTAAAGAGAGGCAAGTGGCAGCAAGCGTCAGCACCAAGAGTGAAGCGGTTGGTGGCGGTGATCATAGAAAGCAAAGTGACACCAAGAGTGACTCGAAGGACTGCGATCTTGGAGGGACTAGCAAGGCGTGTGAACCTAAGGAGAGTGGTGCATTAGCCAAAGATGGTGGAAATGAGGAGGAGAAGGCTAATATCAGCAAAAAAAGCATCGGCAAAGGAGTAAGGAGAGAGCTTGTGGGGCACAATTGCGAGTGCCGCTTTCTCCAACCCAACTTCCGCTACGGGAGAGTGTGATTGGCTGACCTTGCATCGGCGAATGGGGCATGTGGCATTGCCCATTTTGCAGCAGATTGTTAAGCAAGAGATGGTCGGTGGGATACGTGTTAAGGGGGAGCCCAATGAGGTGCTTGGCTATCCAACATGCATGCAAGCCAAGTTCACCCGCTACCCGTTCCGTAGCTCGGAGACAACGGTGAAGGCACCATGTGATGAGGTGGTGATGGATGTGGTGGGCCCCTTGAAGCTTGGAGCTGCTGGAGCTGAGTACTTCCTCACCATTGTGGATGTCTACACTCGCATGACCTGGGTGTATGTGCTGCCCAAGACGAGTGATGTAGCTGAGACGGTGAACACCGATTGGTTGCCGATGGTGGAACGGCAACAAGACTGGCTTGTGAAGGCGATTCGCACAGACCGTGGGAGAGAGTTCCTGAGCAAGGACTTCTCAACTTGGCTGAAGAAGCAGGGCATAATACACTCTCTTACCATGCCCTACTCTCCTGCAATGAACGGCATCGCCAAGCGTGCGAATCGGACACTCACGGAGACGGCTCAGGGACTTCTCTTTGAAGCCGGTCTTCCCAATTACTTTTGGCCGGATGCGGTGCGGCATGCTTGTGTGGCCAAGAACAGAGCCTTGACTCATGTGGGAGAAGACAAATGGGTGCCCTATGTGGAGTGGATTGGAAGGAAGCCGAAGGTGGATATGCTTCGGGTGTTCGGGTGCATGTGCATGGCACTTGTGCCTAAGAAACTTCGGCACAACAAGCTTGATGCCAAGGCAACATGGGCCGTGCACCTGGGCATGGCTAAAAACAGCAAGGGATGGCTTCTTTGGGACCCATTTACCAAGAATTTCTTGGTGAGCAGAGATTGCAAGTTCATGGTAAACTTACCTTACAAGGAGTGGAAGGCGGAGAACCAAGCGAAGATTGGTGTGCGGCTTGGAGAGGTGAAGAGTACCGGCTTGGAGCATGTGGAGCTGCCCTTGGAGCTGAGTAGCAGCAGCACAGTCACGAGGCAATCTCCTCAAATGAATGGGGGAGAAGAGGAGGAGGAGGTGCAGCAAGGTGATGAGCGTGCACCATCACTTCCGCCTTATGCTACAAGTGCTCGCGGGAACCGACCAGATTTGCAGCAATGCCATGAGAGCATCCAAGTCCCTGCAGCAGAGGAGGAAGGAAGGGGGAGAAGGAAGACTCAGCCCCCCAGGAAGGCTCGTTTTTCTTGTGTGTGTGTGTTTTTTTTTTTCAACCGTTGTCGCAGCCACCCGACGAACTCGCTTCAGAATCTTGTCAGGTGCTGCCGACGACGCGTGTTTTTCACACAATAACCACCGAAGTAAAATGCACTATTCACCAAATCACGTAGTGAATAAATTCCGTGACAGCCACATCTGTCCGTTCATTGGGGGAGGGAGGACCAAATCCTGGCCGTCCAAAGGCAGGGGTCTAGTGACGAAGGGAGCGCACACGCCTTAGTCGGACGAGCTAACAAATTAGCTCCGAGCCAACTGTTGTGCAGCCCCGCAGCCCACCAGCCATCCCTCCCTCCCGCCCCGAGAAAAATTCTCGGGCAGGCGGAAGCTACTGCGCCAGGAAAGTGGCTCTGAATACCAAGTGTTTTGAGTGGGAATGGAACAATCGACAGAGTAATGGAAGAACAACCTAGGAGTAATAATTGATTGAGCAAGTGACGAGCGAACTGGCTAAAGTAGGGCTCGTACGTGCTAGGGCAAGAACCTCGAGATGTGATGTGGCTTGGAAGGGTGGCAAGGGTGTTGGAACGCTGCTCGGGAAGGTTTGGGCCGACAATCGAGGCCGAACCTGTGAGGTCTTCGGGTGTACGTGCTGTAATCTAGAGCAGTAAGGAATTGTAATTCCTTACAATTGAGATTAATCAGTTACCCAATGTAATATAAAAACTATTGTGAGTTTTAGGGATGATTCAGGGGCGAGCGTCAGACCCGAGGCAGACCGCGGTCAAAGGAGCCGCGGGTTGTCACATCCTAACTGCGGGTTTAGTGTTTTTGATGGATCAGCAGCGAAACAGTCGCAATTAGTTGGAAAAACGAAATGCGACAATACAGCAAGCTATCCGCAAGATTGCAATGGCATCGATCTTTCGCAAGAAGTTAAGGCGGTTATATTTGTCGGCTACCAGGCATACATCGTCAATTTTCTCTAAGACCCGAGGCAATTTTTTTTCTAGCCTGGGGTCTTCTTGCAGTACACTCGGGTCTCGCACACGCTCCGGGTTCGACCCTGACTCGCAACTGTCACCCACATCGTCCGCTCGCGTCGCGCACATTCAACCCGACATCACGCCGAGCCCAAATGAAACTTTGGAGTCAAAATTTCGGTTGCAAATTCTACCGACGCACAAATGGCACTCAGTCGCCCCACTTCACCTAAAACCGTTCGAATCCCGAACCATTTCCGTCAGGATTTGCCCGCGTCGACATAATTTGGCCAAAACGCAACCCGGTTTCGGGGACATTGTTTCGTGATGCCAGAGACATGAAAGGGCAGGGTGGGCCTAAAACAACAAGGCTCCACGTAAATCGTCGGATGGGTTGCGTATGTCCACATCTTTTCCATTTTCACACAATTTAAATTCGCATTTCCCCCCCATTTTTTTTTTCTTTTCAGTGGGACTGTGCACTACAATTTTTGTGAGTCAATACTAGAAAAATGATTTTGTAAGGGAATATATTTTAAAGGAGTAACAATACAAACTACAGCAATAATGTAGTTTTATATAAAACAAGTGTTGTATTGCTGTATTGGAGTAGTAACTGTGCTGACCTATCAAAAGTGGAGAAAAGGCACAGCGAGTAACTGTGCTGACCTGTACTTGGTTAGCTTTCTGGGGCAGAGCGAATACACCCCTGCTAGGGTTTGTTGGTGCTTCTTGGTTTTGCTCGTCCTTCCCTCTTGCTTTGTCGTCCCCCCTCCGTTCCCCCCCCTTTGTCTTCCCCTCCGTCCCTCCCCCTTTGTTGTCCCCCCTCCGTTCCTCCGCCTTTGTTGTCCCCCATCCGCTCCTCCCCCTTTGTTGTCCCCCCTCCGTTCCTCCACCTTTGTTGTCCCCCCACCATTCCCCCCCCTTTGTCGTCCCCCCTTTGTTTCCCCCCCTTTGTCTTCCTACCTAATCGCTCCAGTTGATCTCTCGCTGCTAGTGAGTCAAGTTCTTCCCTCTTATTTTCTCCCCTGTTATCCTCTCCAGTCATGTCATCACGTTCACGGTTACCACATTCCGAGAACATTCCAAGTCGTCGAAGTTCAAGTCATCACGTTCCAAATCTTCTCACTCCAAATCTGGTCAATCCCGTTGGCACCATTTGATTGATAGATATTTGAAGTTGAGTTTTGGTCATGTTTTCTAATACCCATTATATCTTCGTGTTTGACTTGCGTGCATTTGCATTGTGGTTTTGTGTCTTGGTTTTTCATGTCATATTGCTTGTGTACGTGCGTATCGGCTACCCAATGTCAAAGGTTGCTTGACTGTCAAATCTGGCTTACCATTTGGACGCGTTCCTGGCTCGACGCCATGAAGAACCACGTTGAGGTTCAATGGCCGGGCTTCCGTGTTCCATGGTCAACCTTGGCTTTACCAATGATGCACCGCACTACTGAAGATAAGTCCGGGCCACCCTCAGCACTATTAGTAGCTTTGAAATCCTCTCTAATCTTATCCGGACCCATTCTAACAATCTTCTCACTTCCTTCACTTTGCAGTTGCTGCATAGACCTAGACTTTCAAGACCTCTTGTTTGGTGCTACTACCTGCCACTATCAATGGCCCGTCTCGGTTCACTTACTGCTCTCGTTCTCCTGCTTGCCGTTGCCATTGCCCTCTCGTCATATGCTTCCACGGCAGAGGCTAAGGCG